ACAAACCCGACAAAATTAGTTTGGGGCCCCTAGGTGAATGAGTTGCTAGGATACTGTGCCCCAGAAATCAGGAGCCTTGTGCTGCAGCCTATGACTCGCTGTGTTAAGCCCCAGTCCGTAGTGCAGGTGCGCTGTCGGCAGAGAATGTCAGCATCTCTTCCAACAGCACACTGAACATTACAGACTCATCGGCTGCTTACCAGGGAGGCGCGACCTAGCACTGGAAGACGTTGATCAGCAATCACATCAACTAGCTGATTTCTGTGCAGGCGGCGTGTCTTGCCAGCACATGAACGTCTCGGACAGCTTTGTTCATGTCCGCAGCGCGACTGCCGGAAATCGAGGAGGCTTTCGCAGCGGGTGACTAGCGGCCAGAAGCACAAAGCAGTTCGTCTATTAGTCTCTCCGAATCAACAGAACATCACAAGCGCAGTAGCGCCGAAATGCAATCAACACATGTTTATTGGACGAAACTTAAGACCCAAAAGCAACGTCATGACAACTGAACAGGAAGCCTGCGAACCGGATGGTGTGCCGCTGGTCTGTCTTGTCGGCTGTTTGGGGTCGATGGTGGTATCATGCGGGCTAGTGCGTGTTGAGGAGCCGTGCGTATGTGTGCGCTGCGGACGTGCGGGATTTGTTGTGCCTATGCCTTGCGTCTTTGGGTATGAGGGGCTCCCAAGCGCTTCTTTTGGTGGCCACTGGATATCGATACTTTCGGGAGAAATTTCAGGAATAAGCCAACAATCTAGGGTAATTTATGGTGGTTCGTCTCCACAGAACACAGCAAAAAGCATTTATAGATTCGGCTTGGCAGGCGGCATCTCCACAAAATCGCTGGTCGTGGTCACTGGGGAGGTAGGTGTGGAGCATGCTTCTGCAAGCCTCGGAGGCCCGATGGGTTTGGGGTTTAGGGTTGAACTAAAGATAGGGGCAACGTTGCTGAGACGGGCTCCTGCTCGTCAGAAAATTATACAGTGGCTTCGTGGTCACGATGTCGCATCGTGCACCTTATTAATGCCCACAGGCCCAATGCGAATCTTTGAAGTATGTCTGATCACAGGTGGCGTCTTTGCTTGGTACAGCCTTGATGTCGGTGATGGAGGCACACTTCATCTATCCCAGTGCAATGCATTCCAAGACGGGGGTGGTGCCTATGTGGGAAAAGGACACGTTGGCTACGTGCAGGTGCATGACTTAGTCGCTACGGACTGCAGTGCCTCCAATGGTAGGGGCGGTGGGCTCTTCGTCGAACAAGGCACCGTGAAGCTGCACCGGGGCAACTTCACGGATTGTTCGGCGGCTTCCAGTGATGGGGGCGCTGTCTATGCCAATGGCAGCATGAAGGCTTTCCACGTGGAGTTTATCAGTTGCACCGCTAAGCACACCGGAGGAGCGGCTTACATCGACTCCTTGGAGATTGGGTCTGCCGTATTCAAGAGCTGTGCCGCAACTCAAGGCAGAGCGGTCCGTGCTAATGGCTTGGTGGAGATATCTGATCTTGCCTACTTGGGTAAGGCGACGCAGCGTTCCTCTGGCGATTTTATCAAGAACGCGCAAGCATCATCCCTGAGGATTCATTCTATCACTTGTCCACGTGGATCTGGAGTATTCGCTGATAACACGAGCACAGGGTGCTATGTCTGTGATCCCGGACAAGTCCGCCTCAGTCATGATGTCAATGATAAGTGCGTGGCTTGCCCAGACGAGCCAGTCACAGGGTGTGCTGAAACGCGCATGGAGCTACGCCCCGGCTACATGGCGCTCGTCTCAGTTTGCCTAAGCATGCACACCATTCTGCCCAATCATACCTGACAGGGGGTAGTGTCTGCATTCAGCATACTGATCCAGGTTGACTTGACCAACTCGAGCAATATCAAGAACTGGTACAGATGCCCAAATGCGAGAGCATGTCCAGGTGGGCGGCTTGAGGGTCTGTTTGTTGGGAGCACCTTAAAGTCAGGGGACTGCAGGCGGGCTGCACTGGAAGATATGTATCGCCAGTGCCCTGACCTGACTCTTCAACTTTCCGTGGCATGCCAACGCCCCGGAAGCCGCATCACAATGGTTTTTCTTCTATGCAATTGAAGCTCTCAAGTGCGATGGTAAATTTCGTCTTGAAGGTGAGATCTTCTGATGGACGCATGAAATATCAACGTCGGGAGGTGCAAGATACCTGGAGCTCTGCAGCCTCAAGAAGGCTATAATATACTATAGACCATCATATACTGTATTATACGATATTTTCTATACTATACTATGTTCTACTATCATATACTTCTTCCTGGGTCCTCAGCCATGCGACCTGACGCCTCCGTGTTTTCTCATGGCCCTTCCGTACCCTCAACCCTTTACCTGGCACTTGACTTACCTTCGGTTAGCTAGGAATGAAGCAATGAATCCTCATAGTAGTCCCTATATAACCCATTATAGTATTTTCCATGTTCTTTTCCTTTTTTTTCCATTCCTTCATTCCCAGCTATTTAGGGCATCAGGTGGCATCGTGGAAGCTGCGATCAACAATCAGAGCGAGCTGCAGATCGTAAAGCCCATGTGCCGGGAAGGATTCCACGGCCAGGGGTGCCCCGGTCAATTTCAGCAGACTTTGCAAGTACGGAGGCCAAGAGGCCACTACCCCGGAGGTCTCTTGCTGTCTGTACAATTGATTTATCTCACTTCCCGTCCGCAGGAAATTTTTCAGGTTTTGGGGGTTTGTGTTAGGGAGGTCAGGTCTTTGGGGTTGATGGAGATTGCTCACACGGATTCAGAAGTTATTCTTCAAAGCTCGGCCGGTTATGAATTTGATGGTCTGGAGGCGATGTATTGCAATGTATGTCGCACGAACTAGATTTGGACAGTTGGGGCGAGGCTGCAAACTTGCACCGTTGCTCGCCTGTGTGTTGTTTGTGATTGTCTCCTATTATGTTTCGAGGCTGTCTCAGCGCTCCCTCTTGAGGGTTGTGCGCGAGACGATGCTTTCTTAAGTTCCATGTCTCTGGGATGGGGTGTCAAGTGTTGTCTAATCCCGAGCACTCAGTGCTGCTGGGTTTTGCATATGGCGAGGGGCTCCAGTTTTTCCCCAACAGCTTTAGCTTTGGGGTCTTCTGCCCAAATAAGTTTCGGAGCGAATCGGAGCGGCCCCTAAAAAAGGTTCCGGAGCGTGGTTCCGGAGAGGTTCCGGAGCAAGGTTCTGGAGAGGTTCCGGAACGAGGTTCCGGAGAGGTTCCGGAGTGAGGTTCCGCAGAGGTTCTGGAGCAAGGTTCCGGAGCGAGGTTCCGGAGCGAGGTTCCGGAGAGGTTCCGGAGCGACGGTTCCGGAGCGAGGTTCCGGAGAGGTTCCGGAGGTTCCGGAGAGTTCCGGAGTGAGGTTACGGAGAGGTTTCGGAGAGGTTCCGGTCCGGAGGAGAGGTTCCGGAGCGAGGTTCCGGAGAGGTTCCGGAGCAAGGTTCCGGAGAGGTTCCGGAGAGGTTCCGGAGAGGTTCCGGAATAAGGTTACGGAGAGATTCTGGAGCGAGGTTTTGGTCCGGAGAAGTTCCGGAGTAAGGTTCCGAAGAGATTCTGGAGCGAGGTTTCGGCAAGGTTCCGGGGCGAGGTTCCGGAAATGTTCCGGAGAGATTCTGGAGCGAGGTTGCGGAGAGGTTCCAGAGCGAGGTTCCGGAGCGTTCGGGAGCGGATTCCGGAGAGGTTCCGGAGCGAGTTTCCGGAGATTCCGGAGCGAGGTTCAAGGTTCCGGAGCGAGGTTCTGGAGCGAGGTTCCGGAGCAAGGTTCCGGAGCGAGGTTCCGGAGAGGTTCCGGAGCGAGGTTCCAAAGTGGCCCTTGGAAAAGGTTCCGGAGCGAGGCCAGAGAGGTTCCGGAATGGTTCCGGAATGGTTCCGGATCCGAAGTGGTTCCGAAGCAAAATTCCGGAGAGGTTCCGGAGAGGTTCTGGAGCGGGGTTCCGGAAGGGTTCCGGAGCAAGGTTCCGATAGGTTCCGAAAAGGTTTTGGAGTGAGGTTCGGGGCGAGGTGCCGGAGAGGTTTTCCCGGCGCCGGGACAAGCTGTGCCCCGGCACCGAGAAAGCTGTTTCCCAGCGCCGGGAAAAAGTGACATTCATTCACTATTGAAGATTTGAAGAAAAATATGTAGGTTCTCCCGGCGCCGGGGAAGCTGTGTCTCGGCGCCGGGAAAGCTGTTTCCCAGCGCCGGTGAAAAATCACATTCATTTAATATGGAAGAAAAATGTTTAGGTTTTCCCGGCGCCGGGGGAAGCTGTGTAAAGTCACATTCATTCACTATCGAGAAAAATGTGTAGGTTTTC